CCTGTGTCCAGAGGCTGCTCTGTTTCCGGCATGACCCAGGTGAAAGGGCCAGGACTAGCGATCTTTAAAACATATTAGGAAGTACTGAAGGGGAAGTTCCATAGTATTTAATGTCCTCAAGATAGGCAGAAGGAGCAAAAGGAGGGGGATGGTGATGGTCTTAATGCTGGGTCTGTTGTGCCATGTGGACCATGGGAAGAGAGGCAACATACAACCCACCAGGTCTAGCTGCCATTGTAACTTGCCAAGTGTCCATTTGAGATTATCCAGTAGGCTTTCATTCTTCCTGCTGAACTGGATTCATTTAAAAACATTTTTTGAGCTCCTTCCACAAGTCAGCTAAGTGCAGATGATACAATGGTGTTCTCTTTCCTCACATTCCCTGCCACCGTGGAACCTGCAGTAATGAGATGCTGAAGAAAGATCCCGAATTTTGGAGCCAAATCTCTACCTCCTTTTAGGTGTGTGGCCTATGGCAAATGCTTTAACTGAGCTAAGCCACAGTTTCCATTTAAAAAATTGAAATAATGCTACTACCACTCAGGTTGTCACTGGGATTAAATAACATCACACAAACAGAGCAGTTCTCACTCAGGATTTCCTTTTTCTTTTTCTTTTTTATTAATATTATTATTTTTAGTTGGAGTCTCACTCTGTCGTCCAGGCTGGCGTGCAGTGGCGCGCTCACGGTCACCCAGCGTTGGCCTGCTGGACTCTGGCGATCCTTCCACCTCAGCCTTCCAGGTAGCTAGAATTATAGGCATGCACTACCATGCCTGACTAATTTTTATTTATTTATTGTAAAATGTGGTCTTACCAAGTTGCCCGAGCTGGTCTTGAACCCCGGGCTCAGGCAATCCACTCGCCTCAGCCTCCCAAAGTGCTGGGATTACAGACTGAGCCACTGAGCCCGGCCAGGATTTCCTTTTCTTTGGCTATTTAATAGAGAGTGGATACTTCTTTGCAGTATTATGAAGAAAAAAAAAAAAAAAAACACCCTAGATCAATTAATTTCCATGAGCTGGTCCCTCTGGAGCCTTTCAGGAAAAGGAGCGTATCAGGGGGCTATGTCTTACCCTATCTTGCTGCCATGAGGCCAGTTACCCAAAATGAAAAATTCTACCAAATTCTACCAAAGATGTGGACATCTAGGTCTCTATATCCAACCAGATGATCTCTTCCATTTCCCAGCTTCTAAAAAGGGTTTAAATTACACACACACACACACACACACACACACACATACACACACACACACAAATCTGAACATCTGGAAGGCAGAAGAGAAAGAAAAGGGTAAAATAATATACACACTATAAACTGGTCCCTGAATCATCAAGAAATAAATGAATTTTTCAAATGCCTGTAGCTTTCCTATTCTTTTTTTTTTTGAGTTGGAGTCTCACTCTGTCGCCCAGACTGGAGTGCAATGGCCGCTCTCAGCCACCGCAGCCTCGACCTGCTGGGCTTTGGCAATCCTTCCGCCTCAGCCTTCCAAGTAGCTGGAACTTCAGGTGCACGCTACCATGCCCAGCTAATTTTTTGATTTATTGTAGAGATGAGGTCTCGCCAAGTTGCCCACGTGGGTCTCGAACCCACAAGCTCAGGCAATCCACTCACCTCAGCCTCCCAAGGCGCAGGATTACAGGCTGAGCCGCCGAGCCCGGCTAACTTTCCTATTCTTAACCCCCCTCTGCAAGCTGGATTTTGTCTGTGGCTCCACAGAGCACCCCCTGGGGTTCCTAGGCTTTCTAGGATTCCCAGCCTCTTCTCCATATCCAAAGTTGGCCTAGGGTGACTGTGGGACATGCCGAACATGTCTTGACTTGAACCACTTGCAGCTTTTGCTTTTGAAGGATGACTTGCATGCCAGGGAGGAAACCGTGGAAGGCTCAGGCCTGACTTAGCAGCCAGAACCAAGAGATTCTGAGCCTGGGGTCCTGACTACCCTCAGGAGTTCAGGTGGGAAGTAACAAAAGTGGAACTTAGTCCCAAATTCCCCTTAAGTGCCAGGCACAGTATAGATACCATTATAAGAACACTACAAAGTACATTTGTGTATCAATTTTATAATAAAGTCAAGTGATGAAGTAACTTGCCTATGCAGCTGGCAAGTAATAGGGTTAAGATTTTAAACTAGGTTTTTCTAGATCCGAAAACCAACTTCTCCCAAATACTCTAAAGCCGTAGTCTAAAAGGGAGAGACAAGAAGCAAACCACCTTCCGGGCCTTAGACAAGATTAGAGATCAGGAAAGGAATGAAGGGCAGAGCCAAGAGCTCATAGCTGAGCAGAGGCAGTGGTGGGGAAAGAAGCAGCTTAGGGGCAGTCCAGAGGGACTCAACAATTACCATGAACATTCATGGTGTGTCCAAGACCTTGTCATCTGTAGTCAGTGTGGGGACGTGCTTAAAGGACCATGCAGATGAACTGACACAGTTCAGAGTCCCTGTGTTACTTCCCACCTGAACTCCTCAGGTAGACAGGACCCTAGGCTCTGAATCTCCTGGCTCTGACTGCTAAGTCAGACCTGACCCTTCCACAGTTCCTTCCCTGGCCTGCAATTCATTCTTCAAAAGCAGAAGTTGCAAGTGGTTCAAGTCAAGACATGTTCGGCATGCCCCACAGTCACCCCGGCCCAACTCTGGGTGTGGAAAAAGAGGCTGGGAGTCCTAGAAAGTCTAGGAATTCCAGGGGGGTACTCTGCTGAGCCAGAGACAAAATCCAGCTCACAGAAGTGGGGTTAGGAATAGGAAAGCTACAGGCATTTGGAAAATTTAGCAGCTGGCGAGCTTCCAGAAATCTGGAGCCAGGGGAGTTGCCTGGAGCATACCTGAAGGTGTTCAAGCCACCTGGAAAAGAAAGGCCTCAGAACTGGAGGTGTGTGCAGAGCCCCAGCACAGTGCTCACGGACTTTGGAGTCAGGCTACTTGGTCCAAATTCCTCCTCTACTATTTGCCCGCTGGATGACCTCAGGCACCCTCTTCATTGTCCCAAGTTTGTTTCTTCATCTATGAGATGGAAGCAGTAATGTAAGGGCTGTTCTGAGGACTCAGCTAATCCACATAAAGTGCTTGGCACAGTCCCAAGAACATAGTAAGTGCTTGGTAAATATTATCTTTTACTGTTGGTTCTAGGTCCATAGTCTTAAGACCTGGGCGAGGAAAACACATATCTCTTCGAAGGCTGCAGAGTATATCAGCTGACCTCTTAGCACCTCTGGATGTGGTTTCCAATGCTGTTTCTTCCTACCCTTCCCTCCCCATCCCCTTTCTTTCACTTGTTTATATTTCTGTGCCACTGGAGAGTAACCTTTAGGTGCCTCGTTGTGATTCGCAGTCAGTGGTGCTTCTAACCTAGGCAAGAGAGAGTCACACTCCAAACACACCCATACTTTGGATTTTAGAGTCGGGCTAAATCCCAACCTTCCCACTTTTTAGCAAATGGATCCCTGCTTCAGAGCCTCCATGTTATTCATCTGTGAAATAGGAAATGTATCTTAGGGGGGATTCTACCAGTTCGGGGAAGACTCCAGACCCTCCTTCAGCCTGGCAGCAGGGCTTCTGCTGGCCTCACTTTGGCAGAGAAAACAGCCCCTAAGCTCTGCAAGGGACTGTCCTCCACCTTCTCCCTGGCTCTACCTCGCCCTCAATCCCAAATCCTAGCATCTGTTGCCCAGACAGTCAGCTGCCACGCTGTGCCCAATTCTCTGAGTGCATTTGGTATGAACACTTTGTTTTTGAAGAAAAGCTAGTATCGGTGCTGAGACCCCAGGGAGGAAGATCCGGCCACTGCCGCCTACCAGATGTGTTCCATCTCCCTCATCCTGCCCTGGAGGTCCCAGGTGATCCCATTACAGTGTCTCACACCAGACAGCTGCCCCTGGGTTTCTGTGGAGGTAGAGACAGCAAAACTCCAGACTTCCTGGGGACCTGGGTCTTGCCCTAAGCACAGTTCTAGAATTCTGCTGGAAGGCTATCTACCTTTTCTTGATAAAGGTAATTATTTCCTTTATAACAACAGCTGGATGCTCCAGACCTTACCTCTCAGAAAGAAGGGAGCATATTCCCATTCAGTAAGTTCTCACTATGTCCTAGGCATTGTAGGAGGATCTTACCCATGTTCATACCCTCCAAGCTATGCAAGGAAGGTCTTATAATGACTCCTCATTTTCAGATGGGAAACCAGAAGTTAAATAACTTGCCCATGGTCAGACAGCTAGAAAAGGAGCAGAGCAACAATACAGTCAGTTTAACTTAGGAGTCCATTACAACGTGTCACCCCATAAGAAGAGAGTAAATAACCAGAGGACAAGCAGTGTTTGAGCGAGAGAACGGAAGTGGGCTTGCAATCCTATTTGTTGCTTTGACTGAGCTGGGAGTAGTGGTCATCAGACAGAACAACAGAGTAACTCTCCCAACCACTCGCCCTTTCTGTGTTATTAAAAACATTACCCACCCACCCCCACAACTCTTACCTTTCTCAAAGAGATGAAGGGGAATGAGTGTGATGCAAAGTATCTACGAAGTGTATTAAATTTGCCAACCTCACAAACTGTACATTGGGAAAAGTTGTGGGTCAGAATTTACAAATCGGTAACTTGCAGGCCAAGTCAAACCTAGAGAGATGTTTTGTTTTGACCCGTGGTAGTCTAAAACTTCAAGTTAGTTGCCAATGTTTAAAAAATGCAGCATGTTCATCTAGAACTCCAGGTTTCTATATTATCTTGAAAAACAGAAGCTCTAACACCCCTGGGCTTCCACCCTTATCCAGTCACTGTTGGCTGGAGTCACACAACGGCACTCACTTTGACGGGGAGGTACAAGCTGCTTTCCAATTTGCTAGGCTTCCACCACCATCACCACTCCCTGTGACTCCTGAGACAGAGCATGCTAGTCTCCCTTATAGATCACCCTGTTCCTCCCCATTTTCTCATATGAAAGGTAAGGAGAAAGGAAGCTTTCCTAACATGATTTCATTCCTTTTTTTTTCCTCTTCTAGGTGTTCCCTTCCCAAAGAACTTCCTTCAGATTTGCAAGAAGATTCTGTGCCGCCTCTTCCGGGTCTTTGTCCACGTGTACATCCACCACTTTGACCGCGTCATTGTGATGGGTGCAGAGGCCCATGTCAACACCTGCTACAAACACTTCTATTACTTCGTCACAGAGATGAACCTCATAGACCGCAAGGAGCTAGAGCCCTTGGTAAGTGGCAACGCACAGTAATGGTATTCGAGTCATCTCCAGGACCTCAGCCATTAGTCTCCATGTATCACCAGATCCCTGGGAAATGCCCACTAGTGGCTAGCTGTTCTGGAGGATTGCACAATTGGACAGGGTTTAGCGGTCAGTCAAAGGCCAGGAGATGACAAGATGTCCACTGCCACCGGTCAGGTATCTTAGATTGTTCTCCAAGAGGTGGCAGAGTGTAGTGGGAATATAATGACTTGGGCTTTAATTCTCAGCTCTGAAATCATTCACTTGTTTATTTAATCCCATCAAAGGGCATCTTTAATCTCTCGTGTCATCTCTCACACTGTTAATCAAATATGATCAGAAACAGTTCTTCAGTCAGTGAATAAATATTCAGCACCTACTGTGTGCCAGTTGCTAGGTATACAAGGTCAAGTAAAACCGCCTTCGAGTAGTTTTTACTCCAGAAATAAGCCCTAAATAAGAACACAATCTTACAGGGCCTTTATTTTTCATACTGAGTTTCCTACAATGCAGTTTTAATGGGATATATTGGAATCTAGAACACTTGATCCAAAACTTGGTGTTATTTTAGGTGAATGTGAACTACTTTATTTTCGTCATAAGCTGTTTTTACAGTTGGACTCAATCTGTGCTTTAGAAGTCAAGGACCCCTAAAAACCTCGTTGCCTTTTATAACATGTGGTGTCTCAGTGTGGACACTGCATCGCAGCTATTTCTAGTTGGCTCTTTTGAGTACTATCTTATACCCAGTATAATACAAAGTGGCCGTTTTGCTAAATATAACGGACAGAACCACTAAATTTCACCCAAGTTCATTTGACTAACGGCCAGCGTGCTAGGGACAGGCAGTCCTCTTTTGCCACCCTGTATCCCTTTCTCTTTATGCACATAATTTTAAATATAGATTTTGTTCTTATTTAGGTATGGTGAAGCTAACAGATCAGGAGATGGTTGTCATAGAAAAGATAGTGTGTGCTACTCACACATCCCAAGAGAAAAGGTCATGTCACTCCACAAGGGGCCGCATGGGAAAGAAAGCACTAGGGTCCATCAAGAGACAGAGGGAAAACACAGGCAAGAAACTTATTGTGGTTCCTGTGGGAAGGAACAAGCAAGGCAGGGCGAGTAGGTTTAGGGTTGGCTAAATAATCTTTTTTTGTTGTTTTTTTTTTGAGTTGGAGTCTTACTCTGTCACCCAGACTGGAGTGCAGTGGCACGCTCCCGGCCACCGCAGCCTCGACCTGCTGGGCTCCGGCGATCCTTCCACCTCAGCCTTCCAAGTAGCTGGAACTACAGGTGTGCACTACCACGCCCGGCTGATTTTTGATTTATTGTAGAGATGAGGTCTCACCAAGTTGCCCAGGCGGGTCTCGGACCCACGGTCTCAGGCAATCCACTCACCTCAGCCTCCCAAAAGCGCAGGATTACAGGCTAAGCCACCAAGCCCAGCTGGCTAAATAATCTTAGCAGACTTTGGAGAATAGAGGCTGTCCCCAGTTGTCTAGTACCTGGCCTTGGGGTGGTTAGTGTGAAAACCTGATGGAGAAGGTGGTTGGAGTTCTGGGCTCTGGACTGGTTGGTTTGTGTTGGGTGGCATATCAACAGCTTGAGGGCGAATTGTTTACCATGTCTTGGAACTGGCTAGCTTTGGGAGGACCAGTGCCTCCAGGGTCAGCAGGCCCCCTTGAAATTAAAGAATCAAAATACACACAAAAAATGATGTGTTTAAAATGCTACAGTACCTATATCTGACAAAGAAGAAGTTGGTGAATTTTATATCTCACCTTTAAAGTTTCACAACTTGAAACCTATTGTTGTGCTGTGAAGATACAAAGCAAAAAATATTTTTCTTCGGACCACTCAATAGCCCTAGAACAAAGCAAGACTTTTTGGTACAGTTGAGTTGTCTTTGGCTAAAGAGCTAATTTTCTTCATATTCTTTCACAAGAGCTTTCTAGAAAGCTCTTGAAGTCAGGAACTGAGTTGTCTCTGTATGCTATTGGACAACTAGTATTGAAAGGTCAATTAAGTTGGTGGTTGAGTTTTAAGGTTGTTGTGGGTAAACAGCCACTACAAGAAGATAAGTTTGTACAAACAGCTCAAGGGAGTTAAACAACCGAAACCATTGATAAAGTCAATTTCAGAAAATGTCAAGGACAGAGGAAAGAGTGAACAGGGGCCATGTAAATGAGATGGGAAGAAACCACCAAGACATCATTCTGTGTCTAAGCGTTTTTCATTCAGTTCTCTTCAGTGGATGTGTTCAGGTAGAGGGAACCCAAAGTCCATCCAGGAGGAAGAGGCTCTCTAAGCATTCACACTTGCCATTTCACTGAGCTAAAGGAGCAGAAACAACAGATGGATAGAACTGAAAGTCCATTTCTTCTTTATGCTCAGAAGCATAAAGGCAACATTGTGGGATGAAGCAAGTGTAAATCAGCAAGTAGAGAAAGCCTTTCTTTGCCATCAAAAAACTCAGTCATTTTCAATAACTAAAGGAAGAGCTCCAAGAATTCTACCACCTCGCAGTGCCAGGAGCTGGCTTGAAATCTCAGAGTCACAGAAAGGCCCCAAACAAGACAATATTCCAGATAAGAGCCTCTTTGGGGCTCTGGGAGAAAAACTATGACTAGATTGACCAGGAATCATTAACAGCATCATAACATGTATTGCCCATGGAGCTTAGTACGTAAGAAATGCCTAATATGTTTTTGAATTGGAAAGAGTATTTAAAGATGGTACACCGCCATTCAAAGAGATTATATACTGCTCACACAGTGAAAGTGAGCAAAGAAGGTCTCAGTTTTTTTTTCCCTTGGAAGCTTATATTTTTTTAAAATCTTGCAATCTTTGCTTTATACAAACCAAAACCTATAAAGTAAGAGAAATAGATAGCTGAGGATTTTCTGAGGTTAATAATGATATAATATCAGGATCAGGATAATAAGCACATCTAGTATTCACTAAAAGTGAATTGTTTATGACTTTTGGATTGTTATTGCTGAAATGAGAGTTTTCTTTCCAATAGCTGATAGTGCTAGAATACCCAACTCTTAATACTGTTGCAATGCACATATTAAAATCAGGCATAACTATCAAATCAATATATTTTTTATTTGATTTGTATATGTCTGGTACCCTATATGTGCAAGGCAAGTTGCTCAGAGAGTTATGTGCTAAGAAAACATGCTCTTGAGAAATTTACAATGCAGTCTAAAAAATACAAAATAAGGAACGTTACCCATCTTCGGCCCTCCAAGGATGATGAAGGAGTCAAGCATTTGACTTCACATTCTAGTTGTACATTCTTTAGGCATCTAATACAGCTGGGGTCAGAAGGGCAGCATTTGTCCAGCAAGTTTCCCTTAGAACATTGGCATTCCCAGAGTTCCCACACCACCAGTGGGACATTTCTTGTGTCATGCCTTGGGATTACACAGTGTAGAACTCAGAGGCCCCACTTCGTATTTCTTTCCACCATGCTTCTAACATGCACAGCCCCACTTCGGGTTGCTTTTGTCTGATGGTGACTGAGCATCCTACACAGATTGTGTTGAGAATCCATCCAGCACTCCACAAGAGTAGGAGAGTCAGCATCATACAGCACATAAGACAAGGCTCAGGCTCTCTGGGTTCCAAGCCAGGACTCTTCATTTACTAATTTGCAAACTTGAGCAAGATACAAAGCTTTTAAAAGCCTCATTCATGGACTGGTATAATAATAGAGTTGGAAAAATTAAATGGGTTAGTCACATGGAAAGTGCTTAAGAAATGTGGCCAGGATCAGTGACTCAGCCTGTAATCCCAGCATTTTGGGAGGCCAAGGTGAATGGATTGCCTGAACCTGTGGGTTCAAGACCAGCCCAGGCAACTTGATGAGACCTCATCTCTATAATATATTTTTTAAAAATTAGCTAGGTACTGTGGCGCATGCCTGTAGTTCTGTCTACTTAGAAGGCTGAGGTGGAAGGATCGCTGGAGCCCAGCAGGTTGACACTGGGGTGGCTGTGAGCGTGTGTGCCACTGCACTCCAGCCTGGGTGATGGAGTGAGACTCCAACTCAAAAAAAAAAATAGAAATGTCAGCTGTTAAACGTGGTTAATGATTGCATAATAGCTGGCCCATAGTTAGTGTAAGTGCCCTAATTCTCCTTTCCTCAGCTCTCATAACCTCTTTTCTATCTTAGTGGTTGATCCCCTAGGTAGCCTTGTAGCAGATGTAATTTCGTTGTATTTGTATTAGTCGCATTCATGGGGTCGTCAACTCTTTGAGGGCTGGGAATATACACGACATATGCCGGCATTGCCCATGGAGCATAGCACATAAGAAGTGCCTAATATGTTTTTGAATTGGAAGGAGTACTTTAAGGATGACGCACCTCCATTCAAAGGGATTATACAGAATACCATATTACCGTAATATCACACTCATCTCAGAATGAGCCTACAGACATTCACTTACCCATTTCCGTGTTGGAAATAATGCTGCACCCTATTGGATACACAACAAATTAAAAGTAAAATAAGACACAGAGCAGCAAAAGGATACATGGTAAGCTTTAGGCCTAACTGAGAAAGATGAACTTTCATTCTCTTCTCCAGATTTTAGATAGATACTCGTGAAATGTTGGATGCTCACATACCGCCTGTTGCCTGGTATGCCGTTGTAGGGTGAAAACGGTAAAAACCCTCCCTATTTTAGCACTGAAAACTTCATATCCTGGGAAAACCTTTGGTCCTAGGTATACTGGGATAGTTGGTCACCCTTTCCAGCCTCTGCGTTGGAATCCAATTTGGATTTCAGAAGCTGGGAAGAGGTCACTCAGCACAGCCCAGTGAAGGTCGGCACGTCCATCCGCCCCAGGGGCTTGCCTCATGGCTCCCATTGGGACCGCTGGTGAACTCTGGGCCGGCAGCCTAGGAATCCAGGGAAACACATGCCATTTCACTGGATCCCCAACAGGGAGTGGGAGCTGGCACATAGACACA